AACCCTAAACCCTAAACCGTCCAAAGCCCTGGCCCCATAACACCCCAAAGACGTGGCACCCCACCGAATGCCGAGAGTGGCCGCTAGGCATAAGAATCAGAGTTTCAGACCTAAAGGGTTACGGGGTTTCGGCTCCAGCTTTTTTCTTAGGCTCCAGGGTCTTTCTCGACACAGGATTGTAGATTATAAAGAAGATGTTCTGTTGGGCTACCATTTAGGCTTGAAGGTTTGGGATGAGATGTATCGGATAATTAATAATTTAGGTTATATCTAGTACTACTATTATAATTATAAGACTAGTACTTCCACTACTACTACTACTACTACTACTACTACTACCACCACTACTACTACCACTACTACTACTACTACTACTACTACTACTACTACTACTACTACTCTAGCACGACGACTGCGAAGACCACGACCACTGATGCTACTGCTTGCTACTGCTTGTAGCTCTACCACGACCCGTGCTCGTCATCACGTCGTGATCATCAACATCGTCATGTCAGCATCTTGATCCGAAATTGAATTGTTCCCAGCCACATTAAGTCCATGATGTCCTCCTCGACAGCATCAGCCTGGGCCTTGCCCTCGGCCTCTGCCGTCTGGGCTTTGATCTTCTTGTCCTTCACCCGAGCAAAGGCTTTGTAGAGCCAGAGATCCTCCCTGTCAGGGAAATCCGGGTTCCTGAGCTGAGAATTTACAGCACTCTCAGGCTGAAAGCTCTACCGAGGAACGATCACATAAAATTCCATGATAATTCTGACCGATTAGCGAGAGGATAAACCTCCCCTTGAGATGGGCTGGCAGCTTGCTCTCCGCATCTTTATGCCGGGCAATAAGATCGTCAGCAAGTTCTTCGGATTTCAAGTGCTCGATGAGCTGTGTCCTCGTGAACCATTCCCATATCTGCTCCTGTTTGATCTCATGGGACTTTCGCACCGAGACGGACAGGGTGCACTCGGTCCAAGTGCCACGGCACTGGAGATAGCTCATGTAGAGCGTGTGCATCCGAGAAGAATCGCCCTGCGCCTTGATCATCTCATCTGCCACTTCATCCGGGATGTCTTTCTTCTTGGAGCCTTATAGACTATATCTTGTAAAGCCCTATACGACCTGGTACGTCTATCTGGCCCATCCAGCCACAC